ATGCAACTATTGCTAAGATTATACATTGTTCTTAATCTATAAATATAAAAATGAATGTCTGTATATATGTATCTTTGAATGTCTCGTCTGCGCTCCAAACCCCATTCATGCGATTGCGACAAAACTTTAATGAATTATTGTCCACATAACCGGACATTTAACTGAGTCATTACAACCCTTATACAATGTTCCGTTTTCAGCCGTTGGCCCTTTATTGTTTTGTTTTTTTCTTATATGAGATTTGTAAAAAATAATTTCCATATGCTCTCCTACGCCGTTTATTCGATTCCGATAAAACTTTGGTGAGATATTGCAAGCATGCCCCTAAAGGTTTCTAAATTATTACAACCGTTTTAAAATATTCAGTTTTGAGCCAGGGGCTCTATATTCCATTTTCCTTATATGAGCTATATAAATATTATATTTTCAAACCGTATGCGCTCCTACACCATTCATACGATTGCAACAAAACTTGAGTAGTTGTTTTCCATAACGCTTAGCATTTGACTGTGTTATTTAAAGACTTTTAAAATATTCCGTGTTCGGCCGTGGGCCCTTAATTCGTACTTTTTTTCATATGAGCTTTGTAAAAAAATGTTCGTATGCGCTCCTACGCCATTTATTCCATTACAATACAACGTGATGAGAAGTTGCCGCCAGCACGAGCGCAAAGGTTTTTGAATTACTAGAACCGTTTCAAATATTCCGTTTTCAGCCAGGGACCCTATGTTCATTTTTTCTTATATAAACTATATACATATATTGTCAAACCGTATGCGCTCCTCAACCATTAAAGCTATTGCGACAAAACTTTGGTGAGTTGTTATCAATATCCCTGCACATTACAACACTTTTAAAATATTCCGTTTTCAGCCGTTGGACCCAAATCGATATTTTTTTTTCTTTTATGAGCTTTGCAAAAAATAATTTCCGTATGCGCTCCTATACCATTTTTCAGAATGCGATAAAACTTTAGTGACTTGTTGTGCAATCGCCCATAAAGGTTCTTAAATTACTACGACCGTTTTAAAATATTCAGTTTTGAGCCAGGGGCTCTTTGTTCCATTTCCCTTATATAAGCTATATAAATATAATTTCAAACCGTATGCGCTCCTACACAAGCGATTGCGATAAAACTGAGGTGAGTTGTTTTCCACAAGCCAGATCATTTTTATAAGTCATTATAACCCTTATAAAATATTCGGTTTCCGGAAATTGGCCCTAATTCGTTTTTTTTCCTCATACGAGCTTTATAAAAAAATATTTCCGTATGCTTTCCTCTACCACTTCTTAGAAGGCGATAAAACTTGAGAGAGATGTTGTACGTACGCTCGAAAATATTTTTTTAAAATTATTACAACCATTTTAAAATACTCTGTTTTTTAGCCAGGGGTCAAACAGAGCTAATGCATGGATGGATAGCTTTTTAATAAATTACAACTAGTGACATTAAATTGTGTGTTTCACATATTTAGTCGGTTTCTGAAGCAATACAACAATTCTACTATATTCCGTTTGTAACCGGGGGCCCAAAATCCGTTGTCCATCCTTTTATTAACTATATAATTATCGTATGCATTTCTAAACCATTCATCCGATTGTGATAAAACGTAATCAATTGAAATGCGCACTACCGCAAATGTTTCTAAATTAGAAAAACTTTTTACAGTATTCCGTTTGAGTCAATGACCCTAATTTCGTTTTTTCTTCTAAGAGCTTTATAAATATAATTTCAAACAGAGCTATGGCATGTGTGGGTAGAGCTTAATCAAATCGCACATTTTTCTAACTTAGTACAACCATTTCACAATATTCCTTTTCGTTTTCTTAAATGAGCTTCATCAGTATAATTTAAAACTGAGCTATCAACACTACAGTCCTTGAAAATTTCACATTTGTAGTAAAGCAGAGAGAACACGTTTTTGCATTTTTAGTGAAAAGACTTTTTGTTATTTTTTTTTTATATTTGCCAACATATTACACATGGAATGCATCAGCTAAAAGTTTTCTACGTCGCAAACAGGGTAAAGCATTTGAAGAACACCCACATTTATATTCGGCTGACACATTAGGCCGTCTGTACACTGTTCACCCAAACAATGCAGAATGCTTTTACTTGCCATCACTGTTAATCAACGTACGTGGACCAACATCCTTCCAAGAACTGAGAACAGTAAACAATCAAGTATGTGCCACTTATCGTGAAGCTCGCCAAGAATTAAAACTTTTGGAAAACGATGCTCTTTGGGATCATTCGCTCTCTGATTCATCGAATATTGCTCAACCATAGCAAATACACACTTTGTTTGCAATCATATGACAATTTGCTTCCCATCCAATCCAGAAGATCTTTGGGAGAAATATAAAGACGACATGAGTGAAGACATCCTACCTCGTTTGCGTGCAACAAATCAAAATCCGGAATTAAATTTACACCAAATGTGTATAACGAGGCATTGGTTTTGATTGAGGACATATGTTTGGCAATCTCTAACAAAGCACTGTTAGTGTTGGGAATGACTTCTACGATTCGATCTGGTAACAAGCTTTTCAATCGTGATTTGCAATGAGAAACGCACTTTGACATCAAAGAATTAGGTACATTTGTTCAGATGAATCTTCTAAAATTGGCTCCAGAACAACTCATAGTGTATGAAAGAATTATACATGCAATGACCAGACAAAGCGGTGGACTATATTTCCTAGATGCGCCCGGAGGCACAGAAAAAACTTTCCTAATTTCACTTATTTTGGCTACAATACGATCACAAAAAAATATTGCACTGGCTATCGCATCATCTGGAATTGCAGCAACTCTTTTGCAACAGTACCAAGCTTTCAGTGAAAACCATGATGAGCAATATCATTGAAGCTCCTATTTTAAATGGAACATTTAGGAGTAGAAGATATACTGTTGGCACGCATCCCAATGATTCCAACAGATTTCCATTGGATTTTAAACGTCTGCGGTTTCCAATGCGACACGCGTTTGCAATGACTATCTGGAACGCGCAGGGACAATCGCTACAAGTTTGCGGACTAAATTTGGAAAACCCATGCTTCTCCCATGGACAGCTGTATGTCCCCTGCTCTCGCTTTGGAAAACCTCCTGATTGTTTCGGTTATGCACTAGACGGAAAAACAAAAAACATTGTGTATTTAAAAGCTCTACAAGAAATATAATGAAAATGCAACCAATTTCTTTCTTTGATTGTCATTGCAAAGCATGCAGGGTATTCGCTAGTTTAGAATATGTGTATTTATTTTATTCGTTATCTTAACTCTATGTTACGCAACAGTAAGTACATTGTCTAAAACTCCGTACTTGTGAACTTGACAATTTAATCAAACTCATTGTTCACCCCCCCCCCTTTTTTTTTTTCCTTTGGTCTTTCTTTTTACCCCAAAAACCCCTAATTTATAGTAATTTTTTTTTCTATTTTTAGTATTACGTCACTTTATCTCTAGTACAAGAAATAAAAGGAAATGTCAACTCACAATACTATACAAACAATAAGATGACCTGTAAATGATCGTTGACTAACCTAACCTTACCCACCCAGTAAGCGAAAGTGTTTCGTAAACAAGGTAAGCAATTCAGAAGTTTTTCTATTACTGTACATTTATTGCGTAGCCTCCCCTATTATAACCGTTAAAAATAATTTTAGTGGGACAGTAAATAAAATACTTTTATATAGAAAGTTGTAAAGTGATTTAGATTTATTTCACAGTTCTATTGTTATATAATATAAAGAATGTGCCTTGTAGCATGGGGATTAGTATAACAGAAAGGGTATTGAGTGATTTACTCTGATGTCAAGATGTATTACGTCTCACCAAATGGTGTCACAAGAAACTCAGGCTATTGTCTCAAAGCTCATGTGAGGTTCAACGTAATTGACGGAGGATACATGCAACAATGTTGGTGAAATCCAATCTAAATTAGACCGTGAAATTATGTGCAGGTCAAAGAGTTGATTGAACAATTAAATAAGATTAACTACACAATTTTTTATTTTAATTTAAAGTGTCAACAAATAATTTAGCAAGGCGTAAATATTTCTTTATTATGTGATGGATCAGATCTTGACTCGCATTAACTATTTCTCATATCTACATTTTTTTAAAAGGTTATTAGAAAAGTATCAAATTTTACTCTTAAATTATATTTCCTTTTATTTGATCATTCTCAAATTTAATTTAGAAAAAATATAATTAATTTTTTAAGGTCTTCTTTACTTATGAATATAAAATAGGTAGAAAGACGTTCACTTTATATTACAGAAGAATATTAATAGAAAATAGATTAATAGGTGATATAGGAGAGAATACCCCATTTCTGTCTATATTAGTGGAACATATCCCATGTCTGTTTGTAATGGTGGTCAATATACCATGCGTGCCTATATTAGTGGTCAATATCCCGTTTCAGTCTATATTATTAATGTCCAATATCGTATGCCTTTCTAGATTAGTTCTCAACATTCCATGTCTGTCTATAGCAGTGCTAAATATCATTTCTGTTTATTTCTGTTTCAAACATTCAATGTATGTTAAACTGAAAAGCCAATACTGTAAACTGAAGGAAACATTCAAAGTGACAAACGCGGTGGTTGAAAATAACAGGCATAGGAAGGAGGTCGTCATGCCGGGGGGGCACTTTCTCCATATATTAGTGATGGCATTTTTGGCAAATTTCACACCTTTTTACGTGGATGGAGTTGTCAAAACTCTTTATTTGCATGGAAAGCTAACTAACCCTAGTTACGCTCCTTGGCACAAAATTCCTTCAGGTTAACATCAATTTAAATAATGGTCCCTCAAATCATTGAACTTTCTACCAACTACCAACAGATACTTATCAACATATACGTCTACCTTGAAGAAAAATCTATTGAAATCGAATTTGTTTGAGACCGTATCGATCGCTGTAGGTTATTGATCCGAACTCGCCCCGTTCTTAACGGGCGCCGTGTGATTATCGTCTGCCGCACCAGAGCCGTTAAGTCAGTGAAGCAGATTAAGATCAGATCCCATTGTATGGCGCGCTCCATTTCACTCTTGGACTAAACGTTTCTATGTGACTGAGGCCGACCAGAGGATTGTGTTGGCAACTTCGGCCTTAAGCTTACGGTCGGGGATTTAAATTTCTGTTCACTGGTGAAAGTTAAAAGAAGGGCAAAAAGTTTAACTAAGAGTATGGATATTAAACCGTTATAAATTGTAAACCTTAAAAATTATAGACAAAGTAATATAATTCTAATGGTAAGTAATGTTATCGTTGAAATCATTTAAATGTTAAGTTTATTTACCTTGTAGTTTTTCATATTCATACGAAATAAATTCAATTCCTGTAATGCAGTGGTTCTCAACCTGTGGATCGTGACCCCTTTGGAATTCAATGACCCTTAAAAAATTGTTGGCTTAGACCATCGAAAAACACATATTAATGATTTAGCAACACAAATAATTGTATGGTTTGGGGGGCACCACATGAGGAACGGTATTAAAGGGTCGCGGCACTAGGAAGGTTGAGAACCTCTGATCTAATAGATCATTGCAAACTATGATAAATGTTTCTCGAAGGCTAAACGATACCCAAAATGAGAATATTCACATAATAACATTTGCGTCAGTTAAATCATTATAATTATTATATATATCCTGCATGCTTGCTTGCAGCAGATTTATTATTGTATAAAATAAAATAAAAAGATAAAACCAATTGTTCCATATCTTTTTATTCAAATTCCTTTTTAATTTCCTAAATTTTCGTTGATAAAAAATTGGAACTATAAAAGGGTCGTTCCTACTAATTCAAGTCAATGGAGTAAGGCATGAAATTAGGTCAATGTTTTCTTGTGTGCGCGTTCGTTTGGTATACAATGGTTTTTAAATAAAATAACGCATGTTCTGTTTCTAAACATCATTGTTCTCATTTCTAAATAAAGCTGTTTTTTTCAATTGTTGAAAACACAGTCGTATCTCATTCGTAGCATTCTGACAATGCCACTAAACACCTAAGGTCAAGTTGTTGTTTTTTTTTAACATACTTACCATGCACTTAACACGTAGGGACAAGGGCCTTCTGACATACTGACCTTTCACCCACCACCTAAGGACAAGTGCTTTCTGACAGTCACAGTGATAGGGCCCAGTTTTCCTACTTAAAATTTATAACTCGCACTGATCATGTTCATGGTACTCCAAATATACAAAGCTATTATGTACCCTATAAGTTATCAACATTCAAGATCTTAAATGTACCTCACGCTTTACCAAACAACAGGCTTTTAATTTGGACTTTGCTATAAAAGTGTGACGAGTTATCTGTTCGGTAGGCGCAGACGAGTATCATTGAACCATAGCTGTTAAGTTGAAATCATGTGTTTTTTGGTATGTTAAAGATTGATCAGGTCATTGTTGACACTAACTAATTCAATTATACAGCGGTCAAAGTATGTAATTTATAAATGTCTTACACTTTTACGTTGTAATTCGACCGTCGTAGCCAAAGTATAAGAAAGGTAATGAAAACAAGTCAAATCGTCGTTATTCGTGTGCTAATATTTTTCTTGCCACAAACGGTAAGGCTTATAAATACTAAACTGAAGCAAAGAAACGTATTTTACGTCTTATCATAAAACCAGTGTCACAAGACTTATGTATAATTTACTAATAGTTTATTTAGAAGGAAATATAACGCATTTCACACACTATTGTTTAAGAATATAGCAACATATGATCCTAGAAGAGAAGAAGAAACGTGATCATAAAATCAAGGTAACAAGTGCTAGAGGTTTTCACTGTTTTCCAGGTCTGACTTAGTCACTGCTTGGTTGGTCTGTCTTTTTCACTATTTTGTTTATCTATTGCTTTTTTCCCACTATTTTGTTTGTCTGTGTTTTTCACCATTTTGTTGGTCTGTGTTTTTCACCATTTTGTTGGTCTGTCTTTTTCAATATTTTGTTGGTCTGCCTTTTCCACTATTTGTTGGTCTGAACTTTTCACTGTTTTAGTGGACAGACTTTTTCAAGAAATTATTTCGCATTTTTCATATCAGACATCAATGCAAAACTTTGATCTTTCGTATCAGAGATCAAAGCAAAACTTTGATCTTGAAGATTGGTGTCAGAACATGATAAGTTTAAAGAACAAGTCTGGGACGCCTGTCATAAGCTTGTAAAACATTGGAGTGCGTATGATTCAATAGGAAATTTAAAAAATACAACAAATAGTCATAGCCTTATTTCCTTTTTGATTTATCGCACGAACTGGACCGAGCACCACCAAGGCTGCTTAACTTTGCTCAGAAACCATGAGCGTCGGGAAATTAGTTTCTGATTTTCACAGATTTTCAAATTGTGCATTACTTTATTTTCGATTTCACTACTATAACTGCATTAGCAGTATGTACTGTTACAGCAGAAAGTGTTACTTGTCATTGTAATTCTAAGCCATCACGATGGTTTTCTTTTGAAAGGCTATATAGCAGTCTACATAACTTAAATCTTGAATGAGATGAATTATTTACAGTGCGAGATATGTTGGCGAAAAACATTAAGTGTAGGCCTACTAACTGCCTATTACCTGGCCACTACCTGCCCACTACCTGCCAACTACCTGCCCACTACCCGCCCACTACCTTCCCACTAACTGCCCACTACCTGCCCACTACCTGTCTACTACCTGGCCATTACCTTCCTACTACCTGCATACTACTTGCTTTGAGAACAGCACAAGACTATTCTTGAGATAGGTGAAGATTAAACTTGCTAAAATGCTCTATCTATTGTTTCAGTTTATGAGTTGACAATAAATCGAAGGTTCTTGAATAAACTCGCTAACCAAATGTAAATGTTTGAGTTCTTGCTTTTTACTTTATTTTAATAAAAGTGAAGTATAAAAATGTATATAAAGTTGATACGTTATTTTCATTTGGAATTATGGATATCAATGTTGCTCTACGGATTAAAAAATTCTAAAAAAAAGGTGAAGTGCTTTCAAGTGGTATCGTGTGGGCTAATGCGTCCTTCTAACTGCCTGTCGGGAGACTTTGCTTTGCATTCATCGGAAATGTGCTGTTTCCATCATCTTGACATATCGTCTATAGACACGAAGAATGTGGCGCTATTGATACGCCAACGGCGTGGCTATTGATACTGCGACCGCGTGGCTATTGATAAGGGTACGTGTTGGGAAAAACTAACGCGATGTTGTGAGTTTCTGGCTCCGTTTCATGGCTCTGTTGTCATTGACAACGGCGTGACGGCCATCATCATGGCGCCGAGCTGCTGCCAACACTTCCGGTAGCAACAAAGCGTGTTGATGAAAATGACGGCAGTAAAATTCTATTTTTATTTTGTCACAATGATTTGTCCAAATATTATGTGTGCCATAAAATATCCGAGTGGCAATAAATAATTAAAGTACTTTTTAATGTTGCAATTAATTCTTCACTCACCTTAAATCCAAAGATTTACTTCATCAATTCCTTGCAAGGAGCTTAAAAGAATATTTCACAGAGATGTTATTTTTAATTTCAAATTTAATCATTGTATATCTTGTTTGTTTTAACATTTGCCTTCTGTACTACTATTAGTCCCAAATATTACTATCTAATACAATTACTACTTTGTCCAAAGAATTTTAGATTGACTAATTTATATTTTATTTTTCATCAAGCTACATATTTATGAAATATTTTATTTTTTATTTATTTTTATTATTTTTTTTTTGTTCGTAGTGGAAAATATTAATTGTAATCAAACATTTTGCAATCCTTACAGCATTTCTGCAAAGTAATAATGAAAACTCTGGGGAAAAAAATTTATTAAAGACATGTCCTCTGCATTATAGCATTTGGAGACCCTGACAAAAAGGTCATGTTGTAATAGCACGTACTGTTTGGCACCGATAACAATTAATATTTTGAAGTATGTGATTTTTAATCATAACTTTCATTCAGCGACGTATGCAGATATATTTTCTAATGGAAAAATTGTTTTAAAACTTCATTTGTGAATCCCTAGAATATTATTTTAGGAAAAGACGCCTACAGAAACATTAATGACAATGCCAAACACTATATTCTTTCATTAGTTTACACGGAATAAAAGATTAGTGGGAATGATAGCCTTACCAAAGTGTACACTGACTTATTCAAGGAACCAGTAATTGAAGATTAGACTAGCTTCATGTGTGTCATTATGGAGTGTTATAACATGGTCTGTCTTATAAGGAAGTAATAAGATCTGTAGCACGTCATGTCGATCAAATAATATTGGACTCGAGTGTGTGTTATTGTACATATACTGTACAAATAAATACAACTATCTTTCATTTTGGTTACGTACACACATATACACTTGTAAACTGTTGTAATTAGATATCGGTAATGCTGTGAAGGGTATTGTGTGGTCGGCTGGACGTATCTTATCAAATCTAAACCGTTCAATAGTGATTGGAGTTGTTCAAGAGAAAAATTGACAAAACAGCACAATCTTTAAATGTCAGTTATTTTGTTAATAAGATCACCGTTACTGTAATTAGTACTGTAGCATTCTTGACTCTATTAAAGGCATTTTTTTCTCAGGTAACTTTTACTCTCTCTCCCTCTCTATAGAAGTCTACTCATCCATTTTATGAAATGTTAAACAACCCCTTACACAAAGTTTTTCTCATAATTCCTTCATAAGAAATCATTTAGATAAATGGGCTGAAAGTTGACAGAACATAAACACAAGTAGCGCACTTTATAAAAATCCCAATTAATACCTCCCTTCCAGGCCCGCACAGCCGCATATTTTTTCACGCAGCTGAACTGATATTAATATTCGAATGACCCGCCCGCTTTTACATCGCTTGTTTATTTCGACATTTCAGAAAAGCAAAATAAAATATTACGCACCAAACGCGTAACAAAACCAAAGGAAATATTCCTTCATGTTCTGCTTGAGAAATAGGACAAACTTATTTTTTTTTTTGGGGGGGGGGGGGGGGGGGTGGGGTTGAGGTTGGGAGTGGAGCTGTAAATTTGAAGGAATGTGTTGACATCAGCAACGAATTTACGTGCCAAGGTTCATCTCGATGGATTGATGGGAATTAGGGAAGATTTTGTGAGTCCGCTACCCAGCCAACCAGACAGTTACGAACAAAAGCGAAATTAAGAAAAAGGATCTTAAAAAAAAAATTACAGCTTTGAAAAATAACGTGAGATTTCTTCTATGACTGATCTTGGAGTAGCAGTCTGCCTGATCTTGGAGTAGCAGTCTGCCTGATCTTGGAGTAGCAGTCTGCCTGATCTTGGAGTCGCAGTCTGGGCTGGTCTTTTTTCATGGCTTTTCTTTTGGTTTTCTTTGGCCTATACTTTGTCTTTTCTTTTGGCGTTCTTTTGGCTTATGTTTTGGCTTATCTTTTGTCTTTTCTTTTGGCTTATCTTTTGGCTTATCTTTTGGCTTATCTTGTGGCCTATCTTTTGTCTTTTCTTTTGGCTTATCTTTTGGATTACCCTCTGGCTTATCTTTTGGCCTATATTTTGTCTTTTCTTTTGGCGTTCTTTTGGCTTATCTTTTGGCTTATCTTTTGGCTTACTTTTGGCTTATCTTTTGGCTTATCTTTTGGCTTATCTTTTGGATTACCCTCTGGCTTTTCTTTTGGCCTATATTTTGTCTTTTCTTTTGGCGTTCTTTTGACTTATCTTTTTGCTTATCTTTTGTCTTTTCTTTTGGCTTATCTTTTGGCTTATCTTTTGGCTTATCTTTTGTCTTTTCTTTTGGCTTATCTTTTGTATTACCCTCTGGCTTTTCTTTTGGCTTATCTTTTGGTTTTTCTTTTTTTGGCTTATCATTTTGGCTTATCATTTTGGCCCTTCTTTTGGCTTTCTCGTGGCTTTTCTTTTGTTTGTTCATTCCGTTTGACCTGTCTTTGTGGTTTTCTATGAGCACAACTTTTTACGCAACCTCTGCTTATTTTATTTTTTAATTAGACACCCTCCCCCCCACTTCTCCACCAGACAGAATCGCTATCAACAATTATCTCGAATCAGCTTATTTTGATGTTGATGTCTCTCTTACACAGGTCGTTGAAGTGCAGTCGCAGCCACCGTTCAATTGTTTCGTCTCCCATAGAAATACGACCAGTTTCCATCTTTCAATGTCCTGCCAGCAATACTCCACTTGCTCAGAAGTCCATTAAATGTTTAAATACTTAAGAACCCACCAGTAGCACCTGTCCGCATTCCACCATATGTTTAAAGTTTATCATTGATTAAATTGATTGACTTGTGTCCATGGCAGTGTGATGATCTCAGTGAAAAAGCTGTCATAAACAGCGATTTTATTTCAGATTAACTTTTTCATACGTTTTCTTTCGAACTAGTGTCAAGTTAACCCGTTGAATATTATTGACTTAACACTTATTTAGGTATATATATCTATATATATATATATATATATCTATATATATATATATATATATATATATATATATATATATATATATATATATATATATATATATATATATATATATATATATATATATATCTATATATATATATATATAAATGGAAACATCTTTTAAGGAGCTATATTATTGACTTTTCAAAGGACAACGTATTTTCTCTACTGTTACACGTTTCTGCTTCTAGCACCGAGATATATTACGAACTTCTTTGTCATGTACTTCAATGAATATTTCTCAATGTATACCTTTCCATTGTTAATAAGATGCCCTGGAGGTTTAGGACAAGTTCTCTTGCCTTTCAATCAATGGTTGTAAAAAATATGCTTGTTTTTTTTTTAAAGAGCCTTGGGCGTGAACACGTGGAATAAAAGATAAAGATGTATACAAGAACAACGCCACAATGCCGACCATGCGTGATACGACAAGCGGTCACGCATGAGTGGTTATCGATGCGGACCTAATAATGAGGTTGCTAAGTGCTCAACACTCTGAGAAATAACGTCACTTAACCGACCTCTCCGTTTTTTGTGTGTTTTTTTCGACATGTCCATCGCCCATGGGTATCGTATCAACATGTTTTTTTAACAATTCATACAAGGCCCAGATGGCATGGAGAATATGTTAAAATGTATGTTAAATATGTTACTTCCATCCAACAACGCATCCAACGTATATAATTCAAACTTTTGAACAGTGCTGCTGCTCATCAATAGAAGCCGTTGAAAAGTTTAAAGAAATAAAATTCATCTTTGTTTTAACGATTTTGCACTGTCTCTAACTGTGTTGTATATTTCGTGGCAAAAGCTCTCAATGTTAATGTGTTGCCTTGGTAGCGAGTATTATTTCTGGAAAAAAGAAATTTCATTTAATATAAAAAACACAGAGTACCTCGGAAAAATATAGATTATTTTACTAATTTAATAATCCATCTTTTTATTCATTATCCTTGTTTATATGAGAATTAATCTTATGTAAATATTAAAAATAAATAATAATAATAATAATAAAGTTTATTTGAAAAACACGCTTCATCCCCAAAAGCTCGAAGCGCGGTACAAAGTCAATCGTATTAAAAAGGGAAATAAAAACAATCTAAAATTTACCACATATAAAAACAGACGTAACAATATAAAAACTACATACGAGCATACCAAGTCAAAGTCTTTCATCCCGTTTCAACCATAAGCAACACAAGCCAATATACATTAACTGAAAAAAGATGGTTAGATAGCATCACCCCAGAAGGTGGTTTCGAAATAGATGCGTTTTTAAATCGGTTTTAAAGGACTACAGTGTCTGGCTGTTTCTGAGAGTGACTGGAAGTGCGTTCCAAATTGTTGGGTCGGCAAATGCAAAAGTGCGCTTTCCGTAAGTCTCAAGTCGAACACACGGTATCAATATTTTTCCACGATCGCATGAGCGGAGCTCTCTAGTGGGTACATATTAGATACATGTTGAATGAAAAAAGTGTATTTTTTCTTAAATTCAGAACTTTCCTCTGTTTTCAATTTTCACCTAATGACGTCTCATCACTTTCAACTATATATTATTGTTATTAGTGGTTTTATATAATACGTTACCCCCGCCTAGTGCTGGGCTCACCACGCTGTACATACAATATAACAAATATAATCATGAACTTAAAAATTAACATACATTAATCAAATAAAACAAAACAATGTATATTTGCTCTACCCATTCCAGAACTATTGACATGTCAAGCCATGGACGGCACCCAGCAGCATTGTTTATCTCTTATCTGCAACACATGCTTTCAAAATAAGTCTTTCTTATCATCACATCTAGATTTGTCATGAAGAAATCATTGAACATAACGAGTCAAGTGTTCGCTTTAACTATGCCCCTTTCTTTATCTAGTATCAGGTAAGGGAATTTAGAGATTTAAATGATTCAAACAAGAAATGACCATGGCTCTTTCTTTTTCTTAATTTCGCCCCCACCCCCAGTAAATAGAGTGTTTTATTTATGGATTCCTGAATATATGGGCATGATTGCTATATCCACTCTAAAAATAGCCTGGGCATGATTGCTATGTCCACTCTACAAATAGCATGGGCATGATTGTTAAGGCTATGTCCAAACTACCAATATCCTTAGCATGATTGCTATGTCCAGTCGACCAATAGCCTGGGCATGATTGGTCTGTCTACTCTACCAATAGCCTGGGCATGATTGCTATGTCCAATCTACCAATAGCCTGGGCATGATTGCTATGTATAATCTTCTAATAGCCTGGGCATGATTGCTATGTCTAATCTTCCCATAGCCTGGACATGATTGCTCTATATAATCTTCCAATAGCCTGGGCATGATTGCTATGCCCAATCTACCAATAGCCATGGCATGATTGTTATGTCTAATCTGCCAATAGCCTAGGCATGATTGCTATGTGCACTCTACCAATAGCCTGGGCATGATTGCTCTGTTCGTGGTACCAATATTTTATACTTTTCCTATTTTGTAATGATTCAAAAATAATACAATACTTGGTACATTGTCTTGAATAGAAATGTGTCATATAAACATTTGAAACCATTAATATTACTCTATCAATTGGGTAAGTGTGCCACGTGATCACACACAAATTGACGTCTGTACCTTGGCTGACGTATACCGAATAGTTTCAACGAATTCACTGCAGGCTGGGCGGGCAGTTAACAATTGAGAACCTCTATTCAGGCCATCTTCATAGGTCTGGAACGTACTCGAGTCTTGATGCTTGTTGGCCGAGAATCTCATAGGATCATTATGCCATTTATGGCGTTCTTAACCTTCTTAATGGATGGATTTCAAGATGTCTCTTGTGTCACTAGGAGTGGTGACGAAGTGAGGTTTATTTCAGGATGTTATCGTTACTTACATTTTTAGTCTGGTTATTTAAAAAATGTCTTACACGCGATTGCCACAAAGGCGTATTGCACCAGCCGATGAATTGAATGAGATTATAACACCCCCACACAGCCCCTTACCCACACACAAGCACAACTATCCATTCTATATATTCAGCATGACAGAAGCCAACTGGGCTGAAGTGACCTCATTAGATTTAGCTAACCCCCAAGCACTTTAACTCAAAGAAAGGGTATGAACATTTCATTTCAACACGTTTGAAAAGATTCATTCGACTTATGCGTCTAGGCAAACACTGCTTTAATTTACGCCAATGTGTATAATACTGCAGGACATATTCTTAAAAATATTCCCTATTTGCATGTGGCCATATATTGATCTGACTGACTTTCCTATCATTTCCTTTTCTTCTTCTTCTATATTTTGAGGGCCCACGATCTGTGGATTGCTAACATAGTTCTCAAATGTGTTTTCTCGAATCTGTTGAAATGCGTGTATTAATATTTAACTCGCATATTCATCACTTTCTCAATAAGATCCACTGCGTTTAAGCTAAAATTCCGTATAATCCCCACCCTTCCCCCTTCATTAACAACAAAAGTTTCACTTCTTCGGGTGGGGTACACACGGGGACAGCGTAAGAGCCCCTGAGCCGGAACGGTTTCTTATCAATCCTTTCAATGGTGATCACATAGCGTGTTTCCTCTAGTGGAAGTGGTCCGTGCGATTGTTCAGATTACATTGACGGGGGTCCATTAATCTCTATAAATTGTCAAGCGTTGTCCTGGCAGAGAATACAGTTAGATATTGTGTACATGCATGAATGTTTGATATCATTGCAATCTTGTTTGCATTCAATAAAAAGTTTAATCTTTTTTTTTTCTATATCGTTTTAACTAAACATTTCGTTCTTTCCCCTTCATATATTATCATTGGCTTCAAATCATTTAAAAAAAAATTGTACTCGGATAACAAGATGCTTTGAATTCAAGGCTTTATGTTAAAACGTTTCTTAAATATTATTATGAAACTAAGATTAAATTGCTTTTCACCTCCGTCGCTTACTTCAATGATTGACTTTTATTAGATTGAATTTTATAAGATTGATGTTTATAAGATTGAGTTTCATAAGATTTACCTTTATGAGATTGGCTTTTGAAGCATTGATTTTTATAAGATTGATTTTTATAAGATTGACTTGTAAAAGCTTGGCTTTGTCTTAACGATGCAGTCCAGCTGGTTACAGTAATACTTTGAAAAATAAGGGTATGTGAAACAACTAGAATGACTTACGAAACACTGCCAATGCAATGTACGTTAGTGTTTCAAATTCTCTAATTTGCCACCCAACGGTAGGACAAACTGACACGAAGAAGAGTGAGACTAACTATTAGCCATCGAAATTAAATAGAGCTTAGTTTGTTGTTTTTTTAAATCTGCAAACCAATACACGGGAGGGCATACATAGACGTGAGGTCATACATAGAGGTGATGTCATACATAGACGTGAGGTCATACATAGACGTGAAGTCATACAAAGACGTGAGGTCATACATAGACGTGAGGTCATACATAGACGTGAGGTCATACATAGACGTGAGGTCATACATAGACGTGAGGTCATACATAGACGTGAGGTCATACATAGACGTGAGGTCGTACATTTTCATGTTCGGCCCGTGATGTCCTCACACAGGCCAGACTAGCCTCGCCTCTGCACCTTGATTCATAAGATAGGCTACACTAGCTTCTCATCTGTACTTTAATTCATAACATAGGCTACACTAGCTTCTCATCTGTACTTTAATTCATAACATAGGCTACACTAGCCTCGCCTCTGTACCTTAATTCATAACATAGGCTACACTAGCTTCGCCTCTGTACCTTAATTCATAACATAGGCTAAACTAGCCTAACCTCAGCCCGTCAGATCATAACATAGGGTAAACTAGCCTTACCTCAGCATGTAAAACTTAACATGGGCTACGCTTGCCTTACCTCAGCCTGTCAGATCATAACATAGGCTAAACTAGCCTTATATCAGCGTGTGAGATCATAACCAATTATTCCACTTGTCCTCGTATTGTTGTATTGACCTAAGTGCCTTTCAGCGCATTAACTTGCCTGAGGTTTCCCCCAAGTTCCCCTAGCTGTCAGAACTGAGCATATTCTACTGTTTAAAATTTAATAACCCTTTCAAAAATTCAAGCCACGTCGACGCACCAAGTGTCTGCTCGTGTGTTATGGTTCTTGGGCCCTTGGTAACCAAGATCTACGCCGTGGGTAAATCCCGTGCCATGGCGTTGATACTCTCTACGCCGTTTGGTCTTCAGCTTTATATTTACTTTTCGGGTTTCGTCTAAGAGGTTTTAAAGTTAGACTTTTTATTAATTCACTACCTTTAGGCTAAATTATTAGCTAATTTTTTTAATCACATCTTCTTTTCGACTTCACTATTTTCATAACGTCTTATATTTAGCCCGACAAATTATAAAGTCGCAGTGTAACATTCATAGAACCCTTTCCACATCTTTTTTTTTAATCCACAACTATTTTCGAGATTTTTTATCCAGCATTAACATTTCATTTTAAGTTTCAGTATCATTGTTAACAAAAATTAAAAGTTTATTTGATAAAAAAAAAAATTCTTTGAGAATCTCATAATGGTTACTCTATTGAAGCAAAGCAGTCTTTAAAAGATTTTATATTTTGTCATGATTATTTTTTGCATCATTCGCAGCTTAACCCAATCAGTTTCTCCTCAAGAGCTGTAAGTAAAATGATAGTCCGGTGACATGACGTGGAAAGTCCGGTGACTAAAAGTGAACATTCCGGTTTTTTACAGTGGACGTTTCAGTGACTTAATTTGACCAATCAAAGTCTTGCAGATAGAAGATTTACCCATTTAACCATTTGTTCTGTTTCTAGGGTATATTCTAGATACGCACCTTAAAAATACAAGAAAAATTTAAATAATTGCTGATGATCATTCTAGAGGAGATTGCATTTGTTTGATTGTTTTTAAACAGACAAACACAATCTTTTGAGCAGAAAAAATGTTGCATTACTTAGTCTTTGTGGGAAATATCTTATGAACTATTGGATCTTTTTAACATGTAAACTCTTTTCTTTTCTAGTATCTGAAGGCCTACAATTGGTAATCCACTATTATTATGTTTAATTATAAGCTTCTAGCTTGAGATCATAAGAAATAATTTACAAGAACTGAAAAGCCCCATTTAATTTTAATGGTAGTGCGTTCACATAATATTCATTTTTTGTGTATTAGACCGTATGAGTGTCTTGAGTGTAGTGTTCGCTCTGTGAATGTTGTCATTGAAAAGTTTGACCGAGACACGCTGACCCATTGTTGCAAACCTGCTCTTGTAGCTCACTTGTTTTACTTATGCCGCAAAATGGGGTCACACCTGGTAACCCCTAGGGCCCTAGGGCTGGACGATAAAGACGTGACATATTATACACATTAGTACGTGTGAGCCAACCACAGGTCAATGCGGACTTGAAAAGGTGGGAGGGGGGGAAGAATGATTGTATGTTATTCAGCCTGAAACCTTTAGGAATGAATCTATATCTATTTGGTGTGCGTGTGATTTGGCGTGGGGGGGGGGGGTGGGTGTAAAAATCAGTATAAGATTTTGTCATTTCCAGTCCAAGTAGTTTTAAGTAAATGAAATAAACTCAGTTTTAGCTTTAGGTGCATAAATATCATTATATCAAGTGTATCGTTATATCAAGTATAGCATCATATCAAGAATATCATTATATCCAGTATATCATTATATAAAGTATATCATTATATAAAGTATATCATTATACCAAGTATATCATTATATCAAGTATATTATAATATTAATTATATCATTATATCCAGTATATCATTATGTCAAGTATATCATTATATCAAGTTATCATTATATCAAGTATATCATTATATCAAGTATATCATTATATCAAGTATATCATTATATCAAGTATATCATTATATCATTATATCAAGAATATCAGTATATCATTATACCAAGTATATCATTATATCAAGTGTATCATTATATCAAGTATATCATTATATCATTATATCAAGTATATCATTATATCATTATATCAAGTATATCATTATATCAAGTATATCATTTTATCATTATATCAAGTATATCATTATATCAAGTATATCATTATATCAAGAATATAATTATATCAGGTATATCATTATATCAATTATATCATTATATCTAGTATATCATTATATCGAGTTTATCATTAAATCAAGTTATCATTATATAAAGTATAATATTTTATCAAGTTTATCATTCTATCAAATATATCATCATATCAAGTATATCATCATATCAAGTATATCATCATATCAAGTATATCATTATATCAAGCTAATTAAGAATAAAGCTTAAATTGAAGATATGTCAAAATGTTCCTCTGTCAGATTGATTTGTATTTTCTTCTGGAACAAACAATTGAAAATTTCAGCTTAGTTTGAGGATCATTGGTTTATTTTTTTATCATCCAATCTTTGCTTTATTGTGTAGATTATTGATCAAAGGAAGTCTCACAATAATTAGTATAAGTTTCGTAAATATTATTCTAGCTATAAATCTATCTGCTTTTCACTTTAACATTACCTAAAATCGATTGTTTTAAAAGCTTCGCCCATACAGATAAAAGGAGTTCGTGGTCTAACAATAGTTCGGGCGAAATCAGATAAATTGTCTCCCGTTCTAACCGACCGGAGTTGATGCATCGTAAATAGCATTTCTTGTAGCAAACGTCAGCATTATTGAATATTGGGATGAACATCGATTTCATCTTATGTCCGTCAACAGCCCGAAAACCCGGTGGCTGACCGGCTCAACTTCCGGCATTCAGAAATCAAGAAATCTTTTAATTTAATATGAATTCAGTTGTAAGAAATCGATCAGTCCCTGTGAATTCTGATTATATTCGCCTTCTGCGATAAATTTTGGGTGAAACTGAGAAGGGTGGAAAGAAGTAAGGGATTGGTAAAAGGTTGGTTTTTTGTTTTTTTAATAGCCGACAGTAAGATAGATGTGAAAGATAGATCTGAAATATAGATCAGTAAAACATAGATCAGAAATATATATAGATAATAAAGGTATAACAGAAGAACAAGCTGTAGCTTCAAGACGCTTACATTTATTTCTGTAACATGTATGTATAAGCTAATTATAAATATGGAACTGAAGGCAAGATAAAATGTTTCAGTTTGCAAGTTTTTATAAATGAAGACATAAGTTTCAATACACGTACTCCGTAATGTACAGTCTTCCCAATGGCGTTGCCACAATGTCCCTAAAAGACTTTTAAAAACACCTATGGTATCCAGGTTAACTGTTATTTAAGAATTGTTAACAAATGCCTTTAAATTAATGCCAAAGTTATCGCGGCTTATTAAAAGTTAAATATATATATATATATATATATATATATATTTAAACAGTTACTTCTTTTTTTAATCAACAGATTTAAAGTACGCTAAAACATACAGTACATGTGTTTAACATCCGACGTTTTCCTTGGATATCACTACGTCTACTACTCTATAGACTAGTAGAGCATTTAGCCGGAGTTTTCATCTGTACAATCAGGTACCTGGCCCCGCCTGTGTTACACGTGGCGCAACTGTGTATGGTACGATGAATTTCAGAGGGTAATACGTTTGTTCCACACTCTGTCACTCAACATCAGAAAATACTTCAGGTCATCACAACCTTTGATTCCATTAACCAACCAAAGACGGACACTGGCGAAATGTAATCGTTAAAAGAGTTAAACTTTATTTGCACAAGGAAAAATTTGTTCCAGGAAGAAAGGAAGAAGTGTTTGTTGAAGGTTACGTTGACATATTCTTGAGAAAAGGACTCATTGGACAGCATGCCTAAGACAAAAGGTAAGACAAAAACTGTATTTTTTTTCTTTAATCCTTAACTTGAATGTCTTTGTTTGGATGTACCTATGCTCGTGAAGTGTTTATGTTCTTATACAAATATGACGTATTTATGGCCAGGTAGATGTGTCTCCTACAGGGGTCAATGAAAAGTTGAAAGTATTCGATTATTGCTAGATACAAAAACACACTGATATATCTCTACACATACATGTCATTGGATGAAGAGACCAAAATAGACTTTGTGATGTCATTCTTCCTCATATTAATAATTAGAATGATTGAAGGTATGCCTTAAGTGTCAAAAAAATGAGTCGGTGTTACTGCAAAATGTTCTTTACCTGAGAAGAATGTGGCTCTGAGGTTAATAAACATGTGACTTGGAGTTTAACAAAATGTAAGTCGGAGTTTAACAAAAATTTGACTAGCACTTTAACAAAAATGTAAATGTTTTACGGCATGGAAAAAAAAATTAATAAATTTGACCTTTTATGTTTAAATATTGCTGTCACTTTCCTATATACAGATTGAAACTTCAGTCAACAACTTACTCTCAATCATTCAATTTTAAAATTCTGTATGTGAATGCAAACATTAAAAATATATATTTGTACACATAAAAGGGAAGATATTAATTAACGTAGAAGATTTAAAGTAATAAAACTGCAAAATATCCAAGTTTAGTTCCATCCCACGAGCGTTTCATTAAGAGGTGATTTGTTGCTCGTCATTATCCAACACTTGAGTAAGTCATCTTTAACGAGGCAACTTCAAGGGCGAAGTTCTCACGCTAGTTGTTCATTGTTTATTAATCTGACCACCGACAAGTAACCTTGAACTTAACAGACACTATTGGAAGAAAAAATAGCTGATCTGAACTCCGTACCCAGATGTTGATTCTATCTCTTCTTACAAGATTCTATTACAGGATACATTGTTTATCATTTAGGTCTAGAACTAAGTTCCGACATGATTGAATTAAATGTAATCAATTCAGCTTTTTGCAAGAATTCATATTACTTAATAATACGACTTAACACTTATATGTGTTATTAAATCTGCTACTTTCCGAGAAAGTGTTATACCCGCTAGAATTCCGTATTTCCTGAACTCAGCAAGACCTAGTAACAACAGCTAAAATAACAACACGATATATACGACGAAAACACCTGGAGCTTCTGAGCTGTCAATCAATATTACAAGTGACGTTTTCTTAAAGTGCATGACCAAAACAATGGACTTTGAAATCGATGAGGTGCACGTGCTGTAAACAAGAAGACAGAAGGGGGCTATAATGGAAACTAAAATATTAATTTTTTTTTTTTTTAAACAGAAACAATGATTCAAGGTATAAACACAATCTAATCTAAATCTACTAGACAAAAGTCCACATCATGCAAGGCATAAAACTATTTAATCTAAATCTCTTAGCCTACATTCCAAATCATGCAAGGTATAAACACAATCTAATCTATATCTACTAGACTTAAGTCCACATCATGCAAGGTATAAAACTATTTAATCTAAATCTCTTAGCCTACATTCGAAATCATGCAAGGTATAAGCACAATCTAATCTATATCTACTAGACTTAAGTCCACATCATGCAAGGCATAAAACTATTTAATCTAAATCTCTTAGCCTACATTCGTAATCATGCAAGGTATAAGCACAATCTAATCTATATCTACTAGACAAAAGTCCACATCATGCAAGGCATAAAACTATTTAATCTTAACCTCTTAGCCTACATTCGTAATCATGCAAGGTATAAGCACAATCTAATCTATATCTACTAGACTAAAGTCCACATCATCCAAGGTATACAACTATTTAATCTGAATCTCTTAGCCTACATTCGTAATCATGCAAGGTATAAGCACAATCTAATCTATATCTACTAGACTAAAGTCCACATCATCCAAGGTATACAACTATTTAATCTGAATCTCTTAGCCTACATTCGTAATCATGCAAGGTATAAGCACAATCTAATCTATATCTACTAGACTAAAGTCCACATCATCCAAGGTATACAACTATTTAATCTAAATCTTTTAGCCTACATTCCAAATCCTGCAAGGTGTAAGCACAATCTAATCTGTATCTACTAGACCACAGTCCACATCATGAAGTGTATAAACACACTCTTAATATATATCTAATATCCTACAGTCTACATCAAGATAACCGACTGATATGATGTTTGACAATTATTAGATCGCAAAACTCTTTTGCTATAACTATAAGCGTATTAAAGCCAATACACAGGATACCAACAGAAACTGCATTCTTTTTTCTTTTTTTTTTGAGAATATAACGAAATTGGATATTTAAATAGTTGGGTATTTATATAATTCATATTCTGATCCCATTTATTTTATGAAAGAAAATTCGACTGTGTTGGAAATTTCAAACTCGTGTGACGTAGTAGGTCAGTAGCAGTTGATGTATTTTTTTTAGCTTACTTTGTATGCAATTTGGAAAAAAATATTATTACCAAGAGATGACATTGGCACAGAGAAAGACAGTGATAACAAACTGCGGCATTTATTACAAAACATGGCATTGATAACAAAACAAGTTTTCGATAACAAAACTGCATTTACCAAACAAGATATTGATAACAATACTAGATAGCGATAACAAAAATCATATATTGATAAAAACATGATATTGATAAAAACAAAAAAAAAAGACTTTGAGAACAAAAACGACAATTTGATACCAAAAAAAAGAAGAAAAAAAAGGATTTTGATAACAATACGTGATACTGATAACAGAACGTGGCACTAATAAAGCGCTTGGGACTAATAAAAGAACGGGACCTTGATAAAAAGACATAGCACTGAAACTAAACAGTGGCATCGATACTAAATCGTGACATTTGATTTAAAACGTGACATTTACAGCAGACTTAAAATAGTACCACGTGACAAAGAGCGGCACATCCAAATAAGCAATGTGCAATGAGGGCTCCCCATGGCATATGGCGGCACATCCAAATAAGCAATGTGCAATGAGGGCTCCCCAGGACATATGGCGGCACATCCAAATAAGCAATGTGCAATGAGGGCTCCCCAGGACATATGGCGGCACATCCAAATAAGCAATGTGCAATGGGGGCTCCCCATGACATATGGCGACACATCCGATAAGCAATGTGCAATGAGGGCTCCCCAATGACAAATGGCTGCACATCCAATAAGCAACGTGCAATGAGGGCTCCCCATGACAAATGGCGGCACATCCGATAAGCAATGTGCAATGAGGGCTCCCCATGACAAATGGCGGCACATCCAATAAGCAATGTGCAATGAGGGCTCCCCATGACAAATGGCGGCACATCCAATAAGCAATGTGCAATGAGGGCTCCCCATGACAAATGGCGGCACATCCAATAAACAATGTGCAATGAGGGCTCCCCATGACAAATGGCGGCACATCCAATAAGCAATGTGCAATGAGGGCTCCCCATGACAAATGGCGGCACATCCAATAAGCAATGTGCAATGAGGGCTTCCCATGACAAATGGCGGCACATCCAATAAGCAATGTGCAATGAGGGCTCCCCAATGACAAATGGCGGCACATCCAATAAGCAATGTGCAATGAGGGCTTCCCATGACAAATGGCGGCACATCCAATAAGCAATGTGCAATGAGGGCTCCCCATGACAAATGGCGACACATCCAATAAGCAACGTGCAATGAGGGCTTCCCATTACAAATGGCGGCACATCCAATAAGCAATGTGCAATGAGGGCTCCCCAATGACAAATGGCGGCACATCCAATAAGGAATGTGCAATGAGGGCTCCCCATGACAAATGGCAACACATCCAATAAGCAATGTGCAATGAGGGCTCCCCATGACAAATGGCAACACATCCAATAAGCAATGTGCAATGAGGGCTCCCCATGACAAATGGCGGCATACCAAGTTAGTAGCGTGCAATGTTAGATGATTTAGGTATCATCGTTTTCCCCTAAAACAAAGTATAGCCCCCGAGTTAGAGCCCGTTGTCCTTCACCCGCTCCAACGGCCCATTCATTAAACCTGATTAAGCCTTGTGGAACTGCTGGATGTGTGTTGAAGGAAGAGTGGTTAATAATCGAATGAACCGTGGTTCCGCTTCAGTTCACGTCACAAGAAATTGATCTAACTTCCATTGTTCCAGCATTTGTTCCGGTAGGTTTGTCCGTTTTTTTTATTTTGGTAAAACATGAAGGGAGAACAACCCTTACATAAAAGCGACATTAGTTTGACACGAGTGGTCTTCCGGCAATGATCATTGTGAATGTTACAAGTGGAGCGAGTCGAGCATCCACAGTTTCTTTGGAATTTTTTTAGGCTAAACAAAAAAATGAATCAATTATTAATTCAAAAATCAATTTTCAAACTGGTGATAATGTGTATTGGTTTTTTTGTTTTTTTTTTAAACTTTGCATTATTGGTAGTTTGGTTAACACTATTGATATTCTAGTTGACACTATTGATAGTCTGGATGACACTATTGATAGTCTGAATCACACTATTGATAGTCTCGTTGACATCACTGATAGTCTCTTTGACACTATTGACTGTCTGGTTGACACTATTGATGGTCTTGTTGACCCTTTTGATAGTCTTGTTTACACTATTGATAGCCTCGTTCAGTAGACCATATGTCTAAACATAGTGGAAAACATAATTTTGATATTGATTTCAGCATGGCTTCTTCTATAAAATTACATATTGACTGGAGGAGGAGCTACGATAATGTTTGACACACCTGTGTTCTTATGCCATTGAGAAATATCAGTGGATTCATGACTAATAGTTTGCAGTTAGTCGTTGATAGGGCGATGGATTAATCCTATTCAGATGGGTTGCGGGTATTAATGCCGCCTTGGGGGTCCTCAAGCTTTATGGCGCCACCTTCGATGAAAATAAACTTGCTTTTTTGGCGGAAAATGCTAAACACTGAATATAATGGGCAAGGTACACCATGGGACGAATGCCCCCTCTTCAGCCCCCACACCCCCCTCCTTACTAGGCCGTTGATGGTATTTCCTGTTTAAGGTAGCAACTAGATGAAAGTATTAAAAGATTGTTTCGGTTTTAATTGGGCAATGCACAGTAAGAAATGTAAGCAGATGTTTACAACAGATTCCTAGGGTCTGTATACAGATTCACTTGTAGTCAATTTGACATCATGGTTTTAATACCTAGTTTTTGAATGTCTAGTAAGACTACAATTGCTTACTATAAATTTTGGATTACCGGAAGATCCTGCGTGCTCAAAATGGGGTAAGATATTTTGTGTCTCTGGTCTATTTTACTCTACTTAATAGGCAAGGTGACAGTGCAAATCTGACATGATTTTAACATGTTTTCAATTTTATTAGCAATTTAACGTTTATATAATGACAACATGTTTAATATCCTAAAAACCATTTAATGTATCCTCCAAAACGCTCAGAAACACCACTGTAATTGATGTCTTGAGGTGTGCCACGATTGTATACACATACAAGATGTGCCTTCTTAAATAAAGTTAGCCCCATTGTTACTGACATATACGACTGCCCCATTGTTACTTACGTATATGACTGCCTAGTTGCTACTTAAATATATAATTGACCCATTGTTTAGTACATGTAATACTTCCCCATTGTTACGTACATATGTGACTGCATCTTTGTTACTTACATATATGACTGCCCAATTGTTACGTACACACATGACTGCATCTTTGTTACTCACATATATGACTCCCCATTGTTACTTACATACATGACAGCAACATTGTTACCTACATATATGTCTTCCTCATTGTTACTTACATATATAACTGACCAAATGATAAATACATATATGACTGCCATATTGCTACTTACATATATTACTTCCCACTGTTACTTACATACATGACTTCCTCATTCCTCATTCTTACCTACACATATGACTGTCACATTGTTACTTAAATATATAACTGATCTATTGTTAAGTACATACATGACTGCCTCATAGTTATTTAAATATATGAATGCCCCATTGTTACTTACACACATGACTGCCTCATTGCAACTTACACATATAACTGACCCGTTTGTTAAGTACATAGATGAATGCCCCATTGTTACTTAAATACATTACTGCCCCATTGTTGCTTACATATATAATTACATAATTGTTACTTACATATGTGACTACACCATTGCTACATAAATATGTCTGCCAAATTCTTACTTACATATATATCTGCCCAATTGTTACTTACATATTTGACTGCCCATTATTAATTACATACATGGCTTCCCCCATTTTTACCTACATATTTGACTGCCCAAATGTTAGTTTTATATATGACTGCCTCATTGTTACGTACATATATAACTGATCCATTTTAGTACATACAATACTGTCCCATTGTTACTTAAATATATTACTGTCCCATTGTTACTTACATATATGTCTGTCACATTGTTACTTGCATATATATGACTGCCCCATTATTGCTTACATATATGACTGCGTCATTGTTGCTTTTTCTAAGATAACAATAAAAGTACCATATCATTCCTATCAAGCTAGTCATCTACAAAACAGAAGCATGTTTTAGAACCGCGTGGGGACAATCTTACGTCTACAACAATCACATTTGTTATCTTTTTCTGTTTACTCGCGTCTATGAAACCCAGGTCGAGCGGCTATGGAAATGATAGCATGAGACGTTATGGTGTTATCAGACAAAACATTAATTTTGAAGCATGCGGTCATTACAAAGGTTTTAACGGATTAACAAGAACCGAGCCAGGGAATAAGCCTGCAATCATATCCGAAGACAACTAGGTGTTAAATTATGTGGGTCTTTTTTTTTCAAATTGAAATTGGTATTGAAATAATATGTGAAACATTTAACTCCATCTTTATGCTTATTTACATTGGAAAACCATACGAGAGTGACGTTATTTGCCCAAGCCAAACATATGGACTGTAAAGTTGGATCTGGCATGATAGTAAATCTGGACGTCTCATCTTACAATGGGCGATAGAGAAGAAGTTGGGATGTTGTGTGTCAGAGGAGTTTCTAACCTTGAAATAGACAACTTTAACAGATGCACTCAACCAAACAAATACCAAACTCTTCGATCCATCCACATTTTACATAATCGAAAATAGATAAGGATGCGGGTAGTTGCCCACTTGCAGTTTACCCCATCTTTAACATGTTTGTTTCTATGTACACTAATTTGTTTGTTTCTATGTACACTAATTTCCATCTTGTGTTGTGGGGCCTATTTTTGTTGTTGTTTTTTATTTTTTTATTTTTTTTTGTTTGTTTGTGTTTACACACGTGACGTTGCAAGGTGAAGTCTTTCTTGTGCAGTGTTCACCCGGTGAACGGCTGGAAAACTGGGTCGACGGAGGCGAGTTCATGCTCTGACATGATCGTGGTTGACCGCGTCTGCTTCGTTGGGTAAAATGGGGGAGGGTGGGTGATCTTAGGTCTACATTTTAGTTGTACGCCTAGGTAAATAGTTAAATCACTTAAACCGTGATGTCGTAAGCATTATAAGGTTTAAAAAGTAAATAATTCTACTTTAGTCGATAATTTAAAGATTACAATTTTAATACTAACATTTAGAAAGTAAGGAAAAACAAATATAAACTTTTTAAAAAAAAACTTTTCTATCAAAGACGAGTTAAAACGCTACAAAAATGTGAAAATAACTTATTTTCTTTTTAGATTTCAGTGCGCAAAAATAGGCAGTACAGAAAGAATTTTGTAATGTTTTTATAAGAACTAAAATATATTTAAATTTTGTCTACATTCAATTTTAAACCTTAGTTTTCACCAAGCGCTCATCTACACCTCTTTACAGTATTTCTGTATTTAGATTTAGATTACGTAGATAATATGAGACTAAATGGATTCGTAAGGAACTAAGTGTATTGGGAGGTTGAACCAGTGCCTATACCCCAAACTGTGTTTGAAATGTTGTTGTGCCAATAGCCATAGGTTTAAATCAATAAATCGAAGTCTTAAGTAGATATTGGTCAATTAACACTGTATTGACCGTAAATTTGTACAGTTTATGGGGGGGGAGGGGGCTGTGAACGTGGCAATCATTTAACTCAATATGAATTCAGCATATCTGTGTTTGTCTATAGCTTAATTGGCAAATGATTGACCAGATTTACGTACCGTCATGGTTTTGAAAAACTTATCTGTGTCAAGATGTTTGCTCCTATAATAAACAATACGTAAGGCCTGAGAAAAAGAGTAAACTAAGAAAGCGATACTAACCATTGTCAATTTAGTTATGCAAAGAACATTCCATAAAATTACAAAGTACATTACAAAAGCAAAAAAAAAATATATATGAAAAAACTTACATCATCTTACAGCAGGTGAAAACAGTTACACCTCAAAAATACAGATATTAATTTATGCAAGCTATATAACGTCTCAAGAAATGTTAAGAATAATAGCAAAAGTCTCTTCTTTGATCTATCTTGCTCTGTCGCTGGCAGCCTATTTATAGGAACCAAACCAGCACGATCTAGTAAACAAATTCCAGACATTGCGTCACCTGATTGTTTTCTTTAGAACAATGGAACGCATTCACATGTAAACAACATTTCCCCGGCCAATAAAGGGGTGGGCAACGAAGGAGGGACACAGCACATTTACTCGGTGATGTCAATATCAAGTTCATACAAGAAGAGGAGAGAGAGAGAATTGGTGGTGGCTAAAAATAGCTCTTCATTGATGCAGAAAAAAATTGGCCTTGACATAATATCACACCGCTCATTTACTTAAAACCTTAACGCCGTACACCATCAAAGGATGCTTCGTGGAAAAGAATCGCATTATTAAGACAATATTTAAATGTATTTATGGACAACATTTTAATAACAGTGAGGAACTGCGTTAACAGCTGTTATTTCATTGACAAAAACGAATTTACATAAAATTATATTTTGCACACAAAAAATGACTGCTTTTAAATATAGGTAGACTTCTCTAGACAACTATTGCATGTTTAGTTTCAGGCGCATACTCTGATTTACTGGTCATTTCTGCCATATCTTTAAACTCTAATATCCTTACTGATTCCCCCCTCTGACCGATAAACGATGCTGCCGGCTGCCGACCATTGCTTGACATGTCAATAGTTCTTGGCTGTGTGGAGTGAATATGCATTTGTTTTGTTGTATTTAATTAATGGATGTTAATTTTTAAGTCAATGATTATGTTTCTTATATTGTATGTACAGCGTGGTGAGCCCAGCCATAGGCTGGGGTATCGTGCTATATAAAACCACCTCTAATAATAATAATAATAATAATAATTTCATTTATAAATTTAAAGCATAATGTCACCAGGTACCTGTTGTATAGAATATACCTTATTTCTTTTCAACCAATTAAAAAACCACTTTCATGTTATTCTGTTAAGTTGCCAACAGTTGAGACAGCGCTTCCAAATACATTGATCGGCAGACACTTTACACGGTCAGTGTCACAAGGTTTAATGGAAAATGGTTTTCTTTGCGGGCCTGATTATCCAAACTAAAATAAATATTTCGTTATGATGAGAAAAATAGATATTTAAAGTGTGATTGGTTGGACCGCGCTATTTTGTTAATGATTTATGGACACTTTTATTTCATAAATGGTTGATAGACTTGAGTATTTTAGAAATAATTGATGAAGTCTTATTTTATAAATGTTTGATGGATTACGTTGATTTATGAATGGATGTTATTGAAGGAATTAATGATATTAAGTGTTATTGAATGAATAAGTGACAGACTGTGTTATTGCATGAATGAATGATAGATCATATTATTGAAAGAATGAATGATAGACAATGTTATTGAAAAAACAACAAATGCTATAGCATGTTATTGAATGAATGAGTGATGGGCCGTTTAACAAAATCCAAATCCTTTTTACAATTTCATATTTTGGTGATAGTGTTATAACCTGTGTGATATTCCAAGCATATGTATTACTCTAAGCCTTCATGATACTCTAAGCCTACATGATACTCTTAGCATGTGTGTTACTCTAATCCTGCATGATACTGTAAGCATATGTGTTACTCTAAGCATGCATGATACTCTAAGCCTGTGCGATACTCTAAGCATGCATGCTACTCTAGCCTGTGTAGACACAAGACTTTGACGGATAGAAAGTTTCAAATTTGAGTCACGGAAACCATTCTAGGACACAATATGATTACCGATATGAATGTACACATTTTCATTGCTGTAAAAACCTTGTAATAACATTGATGTAATCACAGGCTAATACATTTGATTATAAAATCATGTGCCTGTAAAAGTGGCTAATACTTCATTTAAGAAAGATTGATGAAGAAAGGTGTTAGGAGTCTATTAAGTCAATGAAGTGGTGTGGATTAATAATTTTTTTAGGTAGTAAAAATTTTTTTTTCATGTAACGAAACGAATGTTTTTCACATTAAAATATCATTTACATTTTTAGAAAATTGCAAAAAAAAAGAATAATCGTGTATTCGCAACCTTCATAAAGTACACGGACTCAGAACTTTATAGGCCAACACATCGACATTTTAAAGAGTAGCCTAGACAGGTCACTGCAACCTTGAATAAGAGTAGCCCTAGACAGGTCACTGCAACCCTGTATAAGAGTAGCCCTGGCAGGTCACTACAACCCTGAATAAGAGTAGCCTAGACAGGTCACTACAACCCTGTATAAGAGTAGCCCTGGCAGGTCACTACAACCCTGTATAAGAGTAGCCCTAGCAGGTCACTACAACCCTGTATAAGAGTAGCCCTAGCAGGTAACTGCAACCCTGTATAAGAGTAGCCCTGGCAGGTCACTGCAACCCTGTATAAAAATAGCCCTGGCAGGTCACTACAACCCTGTATAAGAGTAGCCCTGGCAGGTCACTGCAACCCTGTATAAAAATAGCCCTGGCAGGTCACTACAACCCTGTATAAGAGTAGCCCTGGCAGGTCACTGCAAACATGTACAAGAATAGTCCGGGCAGGTAACGCCTACCCCGTATAAGAGTAGCCCAGATAGGTCACGGCAACCTTGTTGTAAGAGTAGCCCAGATAGGTCATGGCAACCTTGTTGTAAGAGCAGCCCAGATAGGTCACGACAACCCTGGATCAATAGCACGTCACGAAATCCAGAATCCATGTGCCTGACGGTATTATTGATGCGGATGGCGCGATCATTAGAATCCACTTCATTTTCATTATACCAGTTATTACCCACATGATTTGATAGACGCCAAACGCCTACACTGCGTTGGATGAGCTGGTTCAATTAGTGTAAAGTTAATTAATAAATGTACCTAATAGTAATTATTATTTTTTAGGCTAAAAAAATATTGTCCAATTAAAACATAACGTGATTTTTTTTTGTTTACAGATGTACTTAGAATTTTTTCTTGAAGAAGTACAGGTTTCGGAGGATGAAAAAAAAACATAATTATTATATAACGCGGTGATCTATGATAAATATAAATACACAGGGAGCTGCGAAGTGCAACGGTAAAAGTGGACAATCACCTCGGGCGTCAATATCTGAGGGGCGCCATTATCATCTTTAGACATACCAATAAAATTGAATGAAACGCTAAAGCGTCATGCATTTAAAAAAGACCACGGGCGCTAAAATCGTCTTTTTCATTTTTCCGCCCCGGATGGCATGGTTTTCTAAATATTTTGACAACGTGAAAGAAAAAAAATATATTTTAGACTTTAAAAGACTCGGAGTATAACTCTATTATGCCATAAAATACTACGATATATCTATTACTATCTACTTCTAAGGAACTATAATTATCTACTATTAAGCAAATATTTCTATTGTCAGTTATTGAAGATCTAAAAAAAATGGCATAATTGAACATATTGCCTTTATTTCCACCCAGGTAGATCAAAATATGACGAGAACGTATATTTTTTAAGTTCTCACCCTAAAACCCCAGACACCGCAATGTGTGTGGTATTTTTTATGTATACTGAAATCGTACAACCGTGTGGCTATAGTAACTATAAATAGAACTTCTTCTGTTTATATTTCCTTGTTATGGATTAAATGTAGCGTGGTGAACGTGTTAAGATTATTATTTACGGTCCACTAAAAGGGTCTCCAAATCGATATGTCTACGCAAATCAATAACCGATCGATGAAAGCGGGCAATCGGGTGCATATGTTATTGAACTTCTGATTTTAGTTTTGAGCTTATGAGCATTATATGATTGATGAAAAATGAGTTTTTCTTAATCTACCAAGATAAGAGATGATAGATGTACTGCAGTCAACAACGGGAAATCTCTAAATGTTTTTTTTTTACGAGCTCTGTTACTTGTCATACTTCTTTTTGGCTTGTTTGCTGACGAAGGCTGTAAGCCAAAACGTCCAAACCTTTTGTCCAGTCTATGAATTCAAGTTTAGCAAACCTTGTTCTTAAATGGCATTCTTAATCTACGACAGTGGGGAATGCATGTTGTGCCTCAATTTACCATTGTGGGAATGTTAATCGTTTAACTCCAATTTAAGCTCTTAAGATTCTCTCCACTACATCACCCCCTTAATAAAATGCTGAATATAGTTATCCGGTCATACAGTGACTATCTTCAATATTAGATGATGCTTTAACTTTTGTCTGATTTCTTTTACAGGCCCGGGTCCTAACCGCTACCTCCTGCCCCCCACCATAGGGATGGCAAATCATGACCCGACACGACCCAAGGCGCCAGGGTATTCATTTGGAACACGATACAGTTGTAAGTAGGTCATTTGGCACACGATAAAGTTGTAAGTATGTCATTTCGTACAAGATACAGTTGTCAGTAGGTCAATCGGTACAAGATACAGTTTTAAGTAGGTCAATTAGTACAAAGTACATTTGTAATTAGGTTAATTAATACAAGGCATAGTTGTAAGTGGGTTAATTAATACAAGGCACAGTTGTAAGTAGGTTAATTAATACAAGGCACAGTGGAACTTAATGTAAAATTGTTAGGTGGATTCTGTTGGAAGTACTGGGTAATTGGTACAAGATAACGATTTAAATATAGAGTAATTGTTACACGATATAGTTACACGTATATTGCAATTGGTACAAGATATTGTTGCGTTGATGGGGATATGGGTACAAGTACAAGATATCTCATTTACTCAGTGTGTACAGGAACAAAGCCAGTAATTTCAAATGATGATAACTGACAGTGGACTAAGTAACTATTGCAATAACCTTTACTTTCAAACATTGTTAAAAGGTTTCTTAAGCTGTTTCCATGTCTAACATGACAATTTCAGAAATTGAGAGAAAAGTAGTTTCGTTATATACAAATGATGAAGGTAATTGTTGCTTTATTTTATAAATTATTCGAAGATGTTCAATGTATGCCTCATTATGAAGTGCACAATTCATATGTATTTATAGTTGTCTGAAAAGCATTCCACTCTTTGTAACAGACTCATACGCTCATGGGCCAGGTCCTTACTTTTTAGAGAGAGGAATCTACAACAACGGCAAAGACAACAACGCAGGATTCTCCATGTATGGACGGCCAAAGAAATCAATATGGGGTAGGATATTTGGTTTGAATCTCAGCAGTGGGTGGGGCGCATTCCGTTCTCTTCGCGTGACGAGTTCTCGTCATTGGGGAGCAACTCTATGATATTTCATACCTGTTTACTCCCTGGTTAGCATCAGAGTTATTTTCAACTCTCAAAAACGTATTGTTAAGCACCAAAGAGTAGTTTAGTACATTGGCCGAGGAAGGGTGGGGGGGGCGGGGGGGCGGGTGTGTTTACAATCAAAATACAAGATGAGTCAGTCAATCCACTCAGCTGCCTAGCTGCTGATGTAAGTTAACATAAAGAAATATAAAAGTTATGATTCTCCCGTTTGGTGAAGCATTTCTGTCTTATTCATTGTTTGCTTACGGTGTTAACCCACAAAAGCGCGGTAACATTTTACGGGAAAAACCTCAATTATGTATTGGCTTAAAATATTAGTCAACTAACGACAGTGGTTCGATATAAGAAATATGGAAAGGGTAAAATGAAACGGCAAAAAATGACAACAACAAAAAAAAAGTGGACGTTTCGGTCAAAATGCCGTGGACACCAAAGACACACAGAGACAAAACAACAAGAGTGTGTGTCTCTGCGTGTGCCTGTGTGCGTGTGTGTCTGTGTGCGTCTCCGTGTGTGTCTATGCGTGTGTCTCCGTGTTTCTTGGATGTTCGAAGGCTTTTGGTCGAAACGTCCGCTTGTGTGTGTGTTGTCCATTTCCAGGTATTCTTCTGCCCCTAGGGTAGTTCTTATTGCCTCAACCTAGACGCAGTCACCTCGGATATTTTCATTTCGTTAAACGTTGGAGCAAACCTGCACATCTCAAAATGTAAGGCGGGCCGTAATACTTTATGAAAAACGTGTGCGTGCCAAAGGAAAAATGACAGTAGGAAAGCTATTATGAAAATAATAAAATTATAGAATATTTGGTTACCCTCGCGGGCCGCAATGTGGGTATTGGAGGGCCGTATGTTGTGCAGGCCTGCGTTGGAGGATTAAAATCTTATAACTAATTTAACAGCAGAAATGTTCAATCTTTTTTTTTTTTTTTTTGAAGGTCTTTATTTAATGATTTAGTGGTCAATTAAATCTGTTTTGAAAAACACATCAATTTTCTGAATTCTTGCATCAAGTTCTGTGGCATAAAAATACAATAAACAAAATGGATAATTATTGTAATTCCTCGTTTGGTTGATTTTTAAATGTTACCAATGGTTATTAAAACATTTTTTTTTTAAATACAAAAAGTAGGTAGGTCATATTCTGCCCGTCAAAACGTTCTTCTTCTCATTCGTCTCACGGTTTGTTTCTATTAAGTTAAATCCTGCGTGTTTTCAATGCAATGAAAATTAAATTTTCATAGTCGATCGAGAGACGACGCAAACGTCCCAGTACGCAGGACAGTGGCGTAGCTAGAGTTGGTGTCACCCGGTGCGGTAAACTCGTGGTGTCACCCCCTCCCCCGACTTCCAAAATGGATTTGTTATTGTTAAAATAACAGTATAATAATGACACAAATTTAAAAAAAAAATAATTAAAGGTCAGGAGGTAAATGTATTTAATAACTGTGTTTAAGTATTTAAAGGAGCCAGAATTATCAATATATTGATCATTGATCGTGGGCCCTCAAAGTATAGAAGAAGAAGAAGAAGTAACAACGTTAAGTTATAGTTATTTTTACATTAAATTTACTTTATTAAAAAAAATGTTTTCTGATCTTCATAGTTGCAAATGTGTCAGTCACTTGAACAAATTCAGTATCCTTCACTGCGTCTCTTTCAACTAATAGTAGAGCCAGATCAGAAACCCTTGACTATCCCATGGTGGATCGTAAATAGTTCTTGATAAGCCTTACTTTTTAAAAGCTCAGCTCATATGAAGCCACAGACACACAGACCGTAAGAAACAATTTAAGGCTTAGCAGGAGCATAGGAAGAGATATTTGGTGTCACCCCGTGCGAAGGTGTCACCCAATGTGGTCTGTATCCCCTGGCTGCGTCACTTGTTAACTCTATGAATGAGTAAAAAGTCATTTTAAACGGTGTTTTTCTTACCAAATTATAGGGTCACCTCATTTCTGACGCATCAAAATATAACTTTTATGAAAATCGGTCGTACCGAGCAGTGTGTGCTCTGTAAATATGCAATTTTTCAATTGGGTGTCACCCCCTGACATGGTGACACCCGGTGCGGTCCGCACCCCGCGCACCCCCATAGCTACGCCACTGACGCAGAACACGACTCCAGATATTGTTGTCAAGTTGATGTGTCAAAAACTTCGTGCAATGTTTCAATCGCCATGACAGCGTGTGCCAAATTATATTACTTTCGAAAAAGTAAAATAAACACACAGTAAGCTTAAAATGACTATCGTACTGAGCTGAACATGGCCACTGTAGTGTAATATAATGGCAAACATAATTGGCTCACAATAACCATTGTAGTGGACTCAAACAGGCCATTGTTGTGGGCTTAAAATAGCCAGCGTAGCGGGCTTAAACAGGTCATTGTAGTTGGCTTAAAACGAGCATCGTAGTAGGCTCAGTGGCCTTTCGCTTTTAAAATAAATATATATTCATCCTGTTACTGTTAACTTAGCCTTCGTAGTTCGAATTTGAGTATTATAAAATCACCAAGAGTCATGCTTCTAAAGGGATGCTATCAACTTTAAAGAACACAATCTTTACCTTGATGGAAAGATTTTCCAACGACACTTCTTAATTTAAAATATTTACATTTAAAAATGTCAAGAGCATTCATAGGAAGGATATTTTAAACACGTTATTTTCATTTGTCAACATGACACTTGACTTAGTGATGACATCCTGACACTTGACTTAATGATTGCGACCCGACACTTAACAAGTTATGATAACCTGTCTCGTGACTATGTGATGGAAAATTGACACTTGACTTAGTGATGACAACGTGACACTTGACTTAGTGATGAAAACCTGACACTTGACTTAGTGATGAAAATCTGACACTAGACTTAGTGATGACAGCCTGGCAAATTACTTATGGATGAAATTCTGAAACTTGACTTAGTAATGACAACATGAAACTTGACTTAGTGATGACAATCTGACACTTGACTTAGTGATGACAACCTGACACTTGACTTAGTGATGACAGCCTGGCAAATTACTTAGGGATGAAATCCTGAAACTTGACTTAGTAATGAAAACATGAAACTTGATTTAGTGATGACAATCTGACACTTGACTCAGTGATGACAACCTGACATTTGACTTAGTGATGACAACATGGCACTTGACTTAATTATGATAACCTGACTCTTGGATTCGACAATTGACTTTGAAATCATAAGCAGCAGGAAATAAACTTTAAAAATAATCTAAGGGTAACCGTACGACGCACAGCAGTAGTGGCAGTTTTAGACGTGCCTTCATAAGAGAGACAGTCTAATGCGTGGCTTATTTACACAACAGTAGTGGCAGTTTTAGACGTGCCTTCATAAGAGAGACAGTCTAATGCGTGGCTTATTTACACAACAGTATTGGCAGTTTTAGACGTGCCTTCATTACAGAGACAGTCTAATGCGTGGCTTATTTACACAGCAGTAGTGGCCGTTTTAGACGTGCCTTCATAAGAGAGACAGTCTAATGCGTGGCTTATTTACACTGCAGTAGTGGCAGTTTTAGACGTGCCTTCATAAGAGAGACAGTCTAATGCGTGGCTTATTTACACAGCTGTAGTGGCCGTTTTAGACGTGCCTTCATAAGAGAGACAGTCTAATGCGTGGCTTATTTACGCAATGAGAATTTTGTTTTTCTAAATAAAAGGGAGGCCCGTTAGGGTGCATCGAAGACGCAATCGACAGATGACGTCATGTATATTATATTTGTAAGCGCGTCATTGCCATCGAGTATATGTTTCTAGGTCTAACAAAAAGGGAGGGGGGGGGGGTGAATCAATAAAAATAAACATTTGACATTTGAAGTTGATGTACCTTTCCCTTCAATTTAAGTTTTCGGTAGTGAAATTATTTCTTAACGGGCCAAAGTAATTTTCATAATATTGTTGTTTTTAAATACTAAGACATTGGTTGTTTTTTGTTTTTTTTACTTCAGATCTATCCCTTAACTTATCTTAAACAGGTGATGACAGTGTTAGGTTCGCGATAAAGCTTTAAAGTAGATTAATTAGACGCAAACAGTTTGTGTAAAACAATATATGTTCAGCTTTAATGATGATTATAATGAATACAAATATAGACATTTCGGAAAATGCCTTCATCGGTACACACAAAAATGGCAAACCAAAAAAAAAAACAACAACAACAACGAAATAAACCTAGAAAACAATTGAACATGTGACTTCGACATTCAATGGTATAATTCAGTACGATCTTCTAGTTCTGCTTTCATTAAGACTGTTTTCATTAAAAATTCCTTCTCGTGGACCACCGTACAATCTATGTTACAATCTGACCAGAACTGACATCAGGGAGTTCACCAGGACCAGTGTACGCCGTCAACACGAGCGTCACCGACAAGGGGACGCCAAGCTACAGTTTTGGAACGCCTTACAAACATCACTACAACACCGCGGGCCCAGGCCCCAACACGTACAATGTCCTGAAGCCGTGGGGGTCAGAGAGCAAGGGGCCCCTCATTGGAGGCAGGAGTAACGACTCGAAGGTAAATTTTTTTCTCAAATTATTTGTGTAGATAAGTGAAATAGAAAACTGTTTGACATTCAATGAAAATGTTTGATTTTATTCGTACCTTTTTTTTTGGATGATGTTTTGCGCTGACTTAGGAATGTTTTACTTATAGTAACCTAACGAGTTGACAAATTGAAAAAAATAATGGAATTTTATAAGATAAGTTATAATAATACGCATATATTTATCCCAAATAAACAGTAATTTGTTTTCATTAGACTTGATATATTATTTTCAGTCTTGAAATTCGTTTTTTTTAAACATTATTTTGTACCGAATGGGAATGTAGCAAGGCGTTAGGTGAATTATTATGTGATCAGAAACACTATGAGGTGTCAAGGGTGTTTGATTGGACGTTGGCAAGGTCTACAACTATGAGGTGTCAAGGGTGTTTGATTGTACGTTGGCAAGGTCTACAACTATGAGGTGTCAAGGGTGTTTGATTGGACGTTGGCAATGTCTACTGTATCTGGGCTTTTTTCTTTGGGGTAATAAGGGGAGAGGCTGCCGTCAGGTTAGCGCAATATAAAATGAGTAAAACAGAGTAGAGTTCAACCTGAAAAAAAGGAACGCATTAAAAAAAAAAAAACGAACATGTCGGCAGAAAGCCTTCGTCAGTGAACAAAACAACCGAAAAAACGTTAAAAAAATAAAAATAAGAAATAGTACTTAGTTGTCCACGGATAATACTTCTAAGCTAAGTGTTATTTCTTATTTTTATTTTTATACCGTTTTTTCTGTTGTTTTGTTCGCTGATGAAGGCTTTCTGCCGACACCTTCGTTGTTTTGTTGCGTTCATTTTTCAGGTTTAACCCTACTCTTTTTTTATTTTCCTGGCGTTAAATTCATAGTGGTATAGTAATAATCTGTTGAGCCACCTTGCCGCTGGCCATCGACTATTAATCCATCATGTCAGCTTTCTCTTCTTTTTCTTTTACAGAGTTTCTCTTACGACTTCGCTAACACACCAGGTCCGGCAAAGTACGGTTACATGGGAGGGGAGCATGGTCCCTCCTACTCCATCGGTCAGAGGACCAAACTCCCCGGCAACAAGCTGATCACACCTGGTCCCAACACCTACCTGCCTCCGCTTAATGGCAACACCCCGAGGTCACCCAGATTCACCTTTGGAATCCGTTACCATGAGGATGTGCGCACACTCCCGGATGTCGAGGATTAATCA